TACAGTGTTCTCTGATTGTGCCTATGGCACCTTTCCTCTTCACTGGGCCTCTGATGTTTATACAGTGTTCTCTGATTGTGCCTATGGCACCTCTGCTCTTCACTGGACCTCTGATGTTTATACAGTGTTCTCTGATTGTGCCTATGGCACCTCTGCTCTTCACTGGACCTCTGATGTTTATACAGTGTTCTCTGATTGTGCCTATGGCACCTCTGCTCTTCACTGGTTCTATTCTGCATTTTCTTCCATATCGTTCACTCCAGTACGTTGTTATTTTACTGTGTAGATTTGGGACCTGACCCTCCAGTATTTTCCACGTGTATATTATTTGGTATCTCTCTCGTCTCCTTTCTAGTGAGTACATTTGGAGAGCTTTGAGACGATCCCAATAATTTAGGTGATTATAACACCACGTACGTGGGCCCAGTCTTAGAGTATGCAATGCATAAGAATCGCGAAGAATGTGATATGAACAGAGACCGAAGGAACTAAACCTGGTGACGCTATAAAAAGAAGAGAGAGAGAGGGAGAGACATGACAGGGACGTTTAAAATACTTACGGAGAATTGACAGGGGTGAAAAAAAGAGGATCTATTGACAATGAATACCAAGAGTAAAGAGGGCACGGATGTAAGGGTTAAGACTCAGATGAGTTATAGAGATGTTAGAAGATTTAGAGAAGATGAACAGAGGCCCGCTGACTCCATACACAGTTTCAAGTGTAGATATGATAGAGCCCAATAGGCTCAGGAACCTGTACACCAGTTGATTGACAGTTGAGAGGCGGGACCAAAGAGCCAGAGCTCAACCCCCGCAAACACAAATTGGTGAGTACGTTCAGAGGTTTGCAACGAGACTCGTCCCAGAGCTACGAGGGATGGGGTATGAGGAGCGCCTGAAGGAACTGTGCCTTACGACACTAGAAAGAAGAAGGGAGAGGGGGGACATGATAGGAACGTATCTCTCTCTCTCTCTCTCTCTCTCTCTCTCTCTCTCTATCTCTCTCTCTCTCTTTCTCTCTCTCTTTCTCTCTCCTCTCTCTCTCTCTCTCTCTCTCTCTGTCTCTCTCCTCTCTCTCTGTCTCTCTCTCTCTCTCTCTATCTCTTTATGATGTCATACTCTCTCTCTCTCTCTCTCTCTCTCTCTCTCTCTCTCTCTCCTCTCTCTCTCTCTCTCTCTCTCTCTCTCTCTCTCTCTCTCTCTCTCTCTCTCTCTCTCTCTGTCTCTCTGTCTCTCTGTCTCTCTGTCTCTCTCTCTCTCTCTCTCTCTCTGTCTCTCTCTCTCTCTCTCTCTCTCTCTCTCTTACTCTCTCTCTCTCTCTCTCTCTCTCTCTCTCTCTCTCTCTCTCTCTCTCTCTCTCTCTCTCTCTCTCTCTCTCTCTCTCTCTCTCTCTCTCCCTCGTAGTCCTGAGGTTCCGAGTTCAATCCCCGGTGAAGGCGGAGACAAATGGGCAAAATGTTTCTTTCACCCTGATGCTTCCTGTTACCTAGCAGTAAATAGGTACCTGGGAGTTAGACAGCTGCTACGGGCTGCTTCCTGCTTCCATTACAATTATTACTTAACCTATTATAGGTATAGGTTAAGTAATAATTGTAATTACGAAGCAATAAGATGCTTATCTTAACATACTAAGAAGGTTAGGTGAGGTCGGTGTTTTCTATAAAGCTTTTCAAGGTAAACTAAAATATTCACAATAAATTAGTATGTCTCATATGCACTTATTCAATAAGTCAATATTGACTTAAAGAAAGTGCGAAAACGACTTGTTTAACCTGACTCGAATGGTGTGTTTGAGTGCCAGAATTGTTGCACTTGTCACCGAGATGATGGGTGTGGTTGATGGCCCTAAGTTGATCGTTGATGTTCCTTGTTGCAAGGGTTGCATAGCCCCCCCCCCCCATGCTGGAGTGTTTGTTGATGTTGAAGGGCTGTTTGAGGGGTTACAAGGTCACTCTTACGTCTGGTGCCGCGAAGGAGGGTGTCTGAGGGTAACGGCAGTGGATGCCAGAGTTCATATGTGGCAGCTGTGGTGCCAGGTGCCAGGTGCCAGGTGCCAGGTGCCGGGTGCCAGGTGCCAGTGAGGTGTGTGTACTGGGCCTTAGTGTGGTCACTGTAATGTGTATTGTTCTGTAGTTATGCCTCTAGTGGTGCCACTAGGTGCCTCTAGTGGTGCCACACACACCGGGTGCCTCTAGTGGCGCCACTAGGTGTCTCTACTGGTGCCACACACCAGGGCCCTCTAGTGGTGCCACACACACCGGGTGCCTCTAGTGGTGCCACACACCAGGTGTCTCTAGTGCCGCCACACACTAGGTGCCTCTAGTGGCGCCACACACACCGGGTGCCTCTATTGGTGCCACACACTAGGTGTCTCTAGTGGTGCCACTAGGTGCCTCTAGTGGTGCCACACACCAGGTGTCTCTAGTGCCGCCACACACTAGGTGCCTCTACTGGTGCCACACACCAGGTCCCTCTAGTGGCGCCAGAATATTATAGAGGATGACATTTTACATTTTGCTGCAATACTTTAGGCGAAGGTGGATTTTAAGAGTTCCTCTTCCTGTAATTTGGGGAGCTGGGTAGTACAGGATGCTAGCTGTATCGTGCGTAGCTTTTGGTAATTGTTCTACAAGCTCACTACATTCCACAGTGTGTTGGGACCTCTCGGCTGGATATGACACATACCTTTGAGAAGTGTCCGCGGCGATACTGAGAGGCAGCGACTGGCCACGCTATTCCTATGGTCTGGGGCCAGATTCACGCAAGCACTTACGAACCTGTACATCTTTTATCAATCTTTGGCGGCTGTGTTTACAATTATTAAACAGTTAATGAGCTCCGAAGCACCAGGAGGCTGTTTATAACAATAACAACAGTTGATTGGCAAGTTTTCATGCTTGTAAACTGTTTAATAAATGTAACCCAAGCCGTCAAAGATTGAGGAAAGATGTACACGTTCGTAAGTGCTTGCGTAACTGCTTCGTGAATCTGGCCCCTGGTGAAGTGTGAAATGGCTAGAAAACGGACTTTAAGATTCAGTATATATTATATATTGCCCAACTGGTGGTAGTGTAATTATCACGTGAAGGTCTTGTAACACTGGTGACACAATTCACTGTTACACACAGAAACCACAATAGTGTGATGGATCAAATGAACAAATCCACAAAGGTAGGGGGAGATTTGACCATGTCGTAGCTCAGTCGATTAAGGCAGCGTCTGGGAGGCTCTCGGGCGTAGGTTCGAATCCTCGTCACGGCCCTTGTGGATTTGTTTATACAGTTCACTGTTGTTTGGGACGCGAGGTCCGTCTGTGTACATTATTATCTTCGCTGGACAGTAAGAAATTGCGTGAAACAGTTACACGCAAGAAACATGAGAGCCTCGCAAGGTTGACCCGAAGGCTCCTCTATTGGGCAAGAGATTTTCAGTGAAATATAAGACAATTTTACTGTTAAGGGAGATAAGACTTGGAGGTAAATAGATATGAGAGGAACACCCTTAACACATTTAATTGTGGTGACTCGTCGACCTAACTCATCACGGTGGTGATGAGTTAGTGTCATATCAGTGTCCTATGTATCCAGAGACACATATCAGTGTCCAGAGACACATATCAGTATCCAGAGACACATATCAGTGTCCGGAGACACATATCAGTGTCCAGAGACACACATCAGTGTCCAGAGACACGTATCAGTGTCCAGAGACACATATCAGTGTCCAGAGACACGTATCAGTGTCCAGAGACACGTATCGGTGTCCAGAGACACATATCAGTATCCAGAGACACATATCGGTGTCCAGAGACACATATCAGTATCCAGAGACACATATCGGTGTACAGAGACACATATCAGTGTCCAGAGACACATATCAGTGTCCAGAGACACATATCAGTGTCCAGAGACACATATCAGTGTCCAGAGACGCATATCAGTATCCAGAGACACATATCAGTGTCCAGAGACACATATCAGTATCCAGAGACACATATCAGTGTCCAGAGACACATATCAGTGTCCAGAGACACACATCAGTGTCCAGAGACACACATCAGTGTCCAGAGACACACATCAGTGTCCAGAGACACACATCAGTGTCCAGAGACACACATCAGTGTCCAGAGACACACATCAGTGTCCAGAGACACACATCAGTGTCCAGAGACACACATCAGTGTCCAGAGACACACATCAGTGTCCAGAGACACACATCAGTGTCCAGAGACACACATCAGTGTCCAGAGACACATATCAGTGTCCAGAGACATATATCAGTGTCCAGAGACACATATCAGTGTCTCTGGTCGATAGCAAACTGATGAGGATAGATAGGCCAAATCAAGGCTGCCCAGAGGTACAGGATAAACTTGGATAAATTCTAGATCTAGACTGAGCAGTGGACATTCGACTTTGACCAGACAAATGCAATATAATGAAAATTTGAACAAGGAACAAGAAACCCATCAAGAAACATATTACCGGAAGTCGAACCCCTGAAACAAAGACTCGAATAGAAAGTTGACATGTCCTTCTCCTGAGGAGGACGACATATGAAACCAACATAAGTATTAACATTACACAAAGATATCGAATATATGATATAGAATATAATAGAATATAAGATATAGAATATATAACATGATATACAGTTATATATATCGAAGAGAATAACGGCGTTCAGGGACAGGAAGACAGAGACCTTGAGAGTATGGTGGACAAGCCATAGAGAGATCCAACGTAGACCCAGTTTGGGAGAGACTGGGCCCCGAGGAGTCAATGTGTCTAGGAACGAACCAAGTGAACAGGAAAACGGTACCTTTGTCAACAGGAGGAACGGAAGCAAGGAACAAGAGGGGGTGAGTGGTGGTTAGTCAAAGAGACTTAGAAACGACTCATTAAGTGTGAGGGTGATTGGTAAATGAGAGGTAATTAACAGCAAATACTTAATTATGGCACTAGAAACATGGCCACACAGCAACATGGCCACACGGCAAC